AGTTAAACTTAAAAAACTTTCAATAAAGCTACCAGATCAATGCAGTACAATTCAGTTCGAAGTAATGTCTATGAAAGTAGCCGCAGAATAGATTCAGTATCACCGGATATGAGGTGGAAATATCATTATAATTACTGATAGTAAAGCGACCATCATACCCCTTGAGAACGTGTACACCACTTCCAAAATTGTTCAATAATGTCAGGTTTATTTTGATGAAATAGCGAGATATTCATCGGTTACTCTAACATAGATTCCTGGACATGGCAACCTAAAAGCTGCTACATTGGTCATCTGTTTGAATTCTAGCGAAATTCACTCTGAAATTGGCATTCCTGTTATAAAGGGAAAACAAGTGATGGCGAAAAATCTTCAATTAATTGCAGATAAAAGATGGGAGACCTGTACAGAGACCAAAAAGATTAAGCTCATAATGGATAGGAAAAGGACATGTTCAGCTTTAAACCTTAACAGATTCCACCTAAGAAACCTCATAACGGTTATATCTAGTCATTCTCCAGTGGGTAAATACGCCAGTCTAAAAGCGACTTGGACAACATCCACGCATTTATCAGAGCAACAAATTGGCTTGAAGGCAACGTTGACCAATAAGATAGATATCATAGCTCATAGGGTAGGGACCAGACCTGGGATAAATGCATTAAATGTGTTAATGCATTAACAATTTTTTCTACATTAAAAAAAATTAATGTTAATGCGAGTTTATTGCATTAACATTAACATGGGTACATTTAATGCATTAAATTTGCATTAACATTAAATATTTTTAAATTTAATGCATTAATTTTACATTAACATTAAATATTTGTGAAATTAATGCATTAATTTTGCATTAACATTTTTGAATTTAATGCATTAATTTTTCATTAACATTAAATAATAAATAATAAAATTAATGCATTAATTTTCCATTAACATTAATGTATAAAATAATTTATAAAAATAAGAATACAGCGCTAAAGACCTCGGTCTAACTAAATTCAAGTAAAATTGAATGTGTTAAAGTCCTTTCTAATAAGTCCTATACTCGATAATACATATTAGAACAATAGTATCACTTCCCATATATTCAAATTTAATGTTAATGCAATATTTTTTACATTAAATTAATTTTTTTTTAATTTAATGTTAATGCAAAATTAATGGAAATCGCCCAGGTCTGGTAGGGACCTATGTATGAGTTATGCTATAGGCAGCTACCACAATAACCTAACCTAAGTATTTCTTTATAAGGCTAAACATTTCTAAGATTTTGCAATATAAAAAATGTAGTGTAGAGTTTCTTTAAGACGACCGTAACCCGAATTGTGTGCACGGATAGAGTGATTAGATTTGTTATTTCACTCGTATACTTGTCTTATATTTTTTGTTGGTTGTAGTTACTGTTGTTATTATTGTTGCAATGACATTGTGCATTGCTAATGTGCGCATGCGGAACAAGATCATGAAATTGGAGCAACTTTGCAAAGGTGTAACATTGGTGTGCACTGTACGAGAGCATTCAATCGTTCATAGGCTTAACTTTAGAGCTTCTCGTGCAAGTACCAACCAACAGCAACCAACAAACGTACATACATACGTACAGACAGACGTACTAAAGGCCATTTGTTGTCAATGTTGTTCCACCAATGTTGTTTGTAGCGGCTCAAATGCCATTGTGACCATAAATTTAATACTTTTGTAGATGTGTACAGCATGTAAGTACGAATATCCATGTATGTATGTAAATATATATGTATGTTTGGACCATGGATAGATATACATATGTCTGTAAGTAAGTACATGTGTATGCAAGTAATTTATAACAACGTCTAATGCTTTCAAATCTTGTAACATTGTGAGCAGATTTTCAGGTTTGAGTTCAGTTCAGTAAATTTTAGTATTTTTTTTTTATTTTAAACTAAATGTATATCGTCTAGGTTAAATAGTTTATTGGCCCGTCGCCGTACAAAGTAAATTACAACACATACATATGTATACTTATATACATATTATCTCCATCAATATTTCGAAGAAATTAATCTGATTCCGCTATGCGAAACATAAAACTTACTAATTTTACGAAAATATCGTCAAAGAGTTAACGTTTATTATGGCGTGATAAACTCAGTTTAATTTGGAGCGTTAAACCGGTTTTTATAATTCTTCTGCTAAACAACTTCGGCAATAACTCTTAGATGGGTTGACCATACTATCTGTTATGCCTTTAATTATGCCCCAACTATGCCTATAAGAATTTGTATTAAGGACCAAGAGACCTAACATAATTTTCATAATAAAGGTTACTAATTTATGTGTTATGATTGGTTTTTTAAGTTATATGTGTATAAAAAGCTAACTTTTTTAATTTATTTTGTAATTCCATCTATCAAGTAGATGATGCACCAAGTACAACTTGGCACAACGATATCTAAATGTTTAGGTAGTCTGAAACATGTTCAATGTCCGTTTAGGTCACTTTTAACCACACATCAGTCAATATCCTTAGTTGGCATCTTGTACTCGTTTTTAATGAAGCAACAAAAAGTTAGAAAAAAAGAAGATATAAATAAAAACTTGAACTTGTCCTATCCACACAAAATGATTTAGAGCATTCAAGAAAATACACACACACACAATACATACATATATATGTATTAGGGATGCCAATCCCGAAATCCCGATCCCGAAAATCCCGGGATTTTTCGGGATTGGCAAATCCCGAATCCCGGGATTTGGAAAATGAATCCCGGGATTTTTTCGGGATTAGGATTTGTTTCAAAAAACTGTTTTTATTTTCTTTTTTTGAGACATAATTTTCATTAATTTGAAAATTACGATCTTATTTTATTTTTGACTCATGCAAAACAAAATTCCGCAGAGCTAATTTTATACATATTTGAACCTTTTATTTTTTAAAGTGGTATGAGTCCATACACATAGCACATATAAATTTATTTATTCACTTCGTTTTTATACCTTACACCACTTTAGTGGGGAGGGTATATTGGGTTTGTGCTGATGTTTGTTACACACAATAATATTGGTCCTATACCTTAAAGTATACCAATCGGCTCAGAATCATTTTCTGAGTCGATTTAGCTATGTCCGTCCGTCTGTCCGTCCGTCCGTGTAAACCTTGTAATCAAACTACAGCAATTTTGAAGATAATTCAATGAAATTTTGCATGATCTTCTATTGTACTAGAGACGGATCCTATTGAAAATGGATAACATCGGTCCAATATTTGACCTAGCCCCCATACAACTGAACCCCCAAATAGGGTTTTTAAGTTCATAATTATGTTCAATATACTCGTAACTCGACAAAAAGCTGCAAAACCAAGTTCTATACTAGCCTTCATGACCCTGATGTATTTTTTGATGATGCGGCCTCATTTGACCCTAGCCCCTATGCAAAGCCCCCTTCGAAATATGACTTAAATGTACACAATTTTATTCAACAAAAAATAGCTAAATTATATCTGAGGCAAGGTACAATTCAACTTAGATGCTTTATTATGAACAATAAATCACATTTTATTTTTATAACTGGTGTAGGGTATTATATGGTAGGCTTCGCCCAACTATAACTTTTTACTTGTTAGCACATTGCAATGTTGGTCGTAGACCGACCCAAAAAGTATACACATTCTGTGTCTGTAAGCTGAAAACACGAGTTAGAAGACTCATTCTATTTGGGCTGCAAATTTGGACCAAAATTGACACAAAAAAACCTAATTGGACCTCCTCTGAAAATCACATTGATGCTGATATTAATATCAATACATTACAATATTTTGATGGTGGGTATTTAATTTCGGCACAGTCGAATACAAACTTTATTTTTCAATACTAGAGGATTTTACATTTCTAACTTTCTACAAATCTGAATGATACCGGTAAAGGTAAATTACCTTGTTCTGAATGCACCTAAAATTTTAAATTAATACTACGAATATAATAATATGTTCCAAAACTAATATGTATTTTGAGTAAAATTCCAAATATTTTTCAAAGAATAGGTTCTAAATTGATGTTCGAATAATTGAATTGGTATCTGTTATAATTATTAGTTCACATGGAACAGTATGAGGTTTTAAAAAGTGCTTATGTCTAATTTCGGAACTTCATATTTATTTTTATTTAGGAAGTAGTTAGTTAGTTAGTTTGAAAGGAGGATGTATATACATCAAATCCGAAGAAATACACCTAGGCCTCTATCGGGCCTGTTGTGCGCTCCTTAACCAGTGCCTCAGGTGGGAATCGAACCCACCACCTCCGGTCTACCAGACTAGAACACTAACCACTAACCTACCGGAGGCCACATTTAAGAAGTAAGTATGTATTTAAAAAGTTTCAGAAATTATGCAATTCTGAAAGTTTTTATTTAAAAATTGGAATTAATTGGATTGTTTTAATTTAAATATATCTTCTGTCTGTTAAATTTCCACAAAATTAAACAATTTTCTTTACAAATATGATGATTTAAAGATTTTCATATATAAAATAATTAAATTCATGTAATCCCGAAATCCCGTAAAATCCCGAAATACCGAAAAATCCCGGGATCCCGAAAAATCCCGGGATCCCGAAATATCCCGGGATCCCGGGATTGCAATTTTCAAAATCCCGAATCCCGGGATTTGTAAAAGCCAGTCCCGTTTGGCATCCCTAATATGTATGTACATGTACGCTCTGCTATTAATGTGTTTTTGTATCTGGTCATGTCCGTCCACCACTATTAACCAGTTAAGTACAGTGATATGGCCATGTATGATCTGGAAGTGTATCATCCGTATCAATGTATAGAGCGAAAGCTCAAATAAGCCAATTATTTACTAGTGCACTTACACATCTATAGACGAGCCAAACACTTACATACATATGTATTTGAACTTACAAGTAAAGATATAGAGTGAAATCATTTGAAAATTTTCCAGATCATTGTCATAATGATTGGAAAAATTTTAAGTAGATTTTCTTTTGCTTAAAACTTACCTTTACGTATTCGGCACAGATATCTATGCTGCCTACAAATGCACAAACATCATCCACTGTCCAAGAGTTCAACTCTTCACTCTGGGCTTGACATTGACGTACAGTAACCGCAGGTGCAATGGATGATGTGGCAGATGTTGAGCTGGCGACTTTGATTGGCGTAAATGCTGTTGTAGTTGCTTCTGTCTTTGTACTGGAGCCAACAACGGCAGAAGCTGTTGCAGCAGGAGAAGCAATAGAAGCATTCATATTCAAAGACTTTTCATTAAGGGGCGGGGGTGATGGAGACGTTGTGGCAGTTGAAGACGACGCTCTTCTTGTTATGGTGGTATGTATTAAGCCATCGTTACTACTTTGGCTTGATGTGGATTCAGCCTTGAAACGTTTAGATGCTGGAGGCTGAGAGCTCAAGTCTAATGGTGAAACATTCAGTTTATCACCAAGATTCCTATTATTTTTGGCAGACGTGGAACTGGTCGTGGTGGAATTTGAAATGTTTGCTAAACGTGGACTAGATTGCCTTGAAGCTTGCTGTTGCTGCTGCAGCTGCTGTTTCTGCAGTTGAGCAGAGTAGATGAGTGCAGGTGAAATAAATTGTGCTGCCTGCTGAAGGGCCATATTCAAACTTGGACTAGGTGAGGGCGAATTGCTGGCTGCGGATCTTTTTGGATGTTGTGATGAGGCACTCAAAATGTTGTGTATTTCATTTTCCTTGGCTGCCCGAGCCTAGAAAATAAAAACCAAACACATACATTCAAGTGATGACTACTCATAAAATTTCAACATAAGTCATATTAATTCACCAGAGAGTAACACTTACCAAAGTTATTAATGCCTGAGTGCTGCTCATGTCTATAAGCGGAGGAAAAATTCCAGACGAAAATGGTAGGCTGGATAGAAACGAAGTCATATATGGCGAAACATTGCTGGTACAGGCAGCCGCTGCATTTGCTACTGCAGCGGCGAGTTTATTCTGTTGTGTCAGTTTAAGAGCTGATTCGCCTGGTGAAATGGCTGCTGATGTCAACGGTGGAGGGGGAGGTAGTGTAGAGGTAGTCGTTATGGATACTTCCTTATTAATTGGGGCGGTGGGTGATGGTGCATAAGATGTCTTTTGTGCTGCTGTTGATGCCTTCTTTTGGCTATTTATATTATTTGATGTTGCCTCAAACAATGCATTCCGCTTCAAGTTACTGCAAATAATTATAAACGGTTGTATGTAATTAAGTAATGTTTTTTAAATAAATAACTTAAAAAAATGCGGTTCCGACAATGATTGGATTCTATGACAAGCCCGATAAGTATGTTTTTCAAATGCTACTTACTCATTGGGATTTGCATTATTATACTTGGCTGCCAAACTTCGCATAAAATCCGAATAATTTCGAGTAGGAAAATCGGCCGGTAGTCCTGAATTTGCATTCGTTATGCCAGGCGAAGAAACACTTAAATTTCCATGTCGACTTGAGGCAGCTGCCTGATGAATACTATTCAGCAGATTTGTAGAGAGATTATGCATTGGTACTAGGGTTTCGGACGGACTACTGTGAACAGATTGTTGTGGCGACGTGCCGCGAAATGATGATGGTGTTGTACTACGCGATCTAAAACAAATTAGTTTTAAGAAAAAATGGTTATTAAAATTATAATTATTGCATTTTGTAGGGAATTATGAATACGGATACTAAACCAAATAAGAGTTAATTTAAAAAATATACATATAAATTTAAAAAATAATCTAGATGCTTGGGTACTAAATTGGGAAGTGGAATAAACCGCACCAGCTATCCTTGCTTTTTCTCTGTGTAAATTTAAATGATTAAAATTTAAATTATTTAGAGGAAATGTTGAAAACTTTAGAGCATTTACTTCGGAAACTTTTTTAATGCTCGGGAAAAAGTGATACACTTTTTCCACGTACTTTTTTATGCTCTATTTGTAATGGATAAGGCCGATGAAATTTCCAAAAATTGTAAAAAAGTTATTACCCTAATGTAGTATATACATTTGCATAAATACATATTATATATGTATGTATTTAACACATTTTGTTTAATCTAGTTTATATTATTAACATCATCATCACTATCATTGTATCGTGTCATGCCATTTATCTTTATTTTGATTCTGTTTTGATTTAATATTTGTTTTTAACAAATTAGTAATACATTATATATATATATATTATACTACATACATATTTGTTATATCTAATATGTATGTATTTGATACATATGTACATACATATGTATATTAGTTTTAATTTATGCGTGAGAATTATTTACATACGTAATCAAATCAAACTTTGTTGGATAAGTGTCAATAAGTTATTTTTAATTGTTGATGGAGTTAGCAGAAATATTTATTGTATTAGGGCAGTTTTTTATTTATCGAATTTCGATCTTTGCTATTCAGTTTATTATAAATCGGTTAAATTTCGACTTATTTAATAATAAAGCACCCTAATGTACGTAACAAGTATATTCGAGTTAAAGTTGTTCTTTTGATATTTTGATTTTACTACGATTATTTTATAATTTAAATACTAAACGAACTGGTTTGTATTTGGTTCTAAAATGTATTGTTATTATAATATTCGACTAACACTACTGACCTTATATTTATCCAAATATTTATTTCGCTTTTTATACATTTGTTATTTAATTTGTCAAATAATAGGGCCTGAAAATGAAATATTTAAATATTGTTTATTTTTCCTTTCTGTACACCTACGTATTTATTTAAATTATCTACTAAAATAAACATAGAGTAGCAAAAGTTCTTAATGGTTATTAGTCGAATAAAGATCAATTTTATAAATGTGTATGTATTTATATTTTATAAGTTTATATATTATTGAAAACCACAAAAAATATACCATTCCTGGGGTTTGAAAAAATTTCAACACATTGCACAGTGCCACATTTGCTCAATCTAGAACGACCAAAGTCAAACCAAAAAAAAAAAAAAAAAATGCGAGTTTGCCGCTTTTTTTATATATACATATGTATGTATGTGAACTAAGACTTCCAGTAGCATGTAAACATCGACAAAATACGATAAAATGTTTGCACATGGAGAAATATGACTCTTGCCAATTTCAAAATTAAATTTTTCTAGTTACTAATATACATAGGCCAAATAATAAAATAACAAATAATGATAGTTTTAGAGTTATAAGGGACGTTTTTAGCCTTTAAAATTAATGATACTTCACATAAACTTAGTGATAACCCTAAATTAAGGTGGTCGGTAATATCATGGTCACGCCCATTTAATTTGCTAGTTTTGATTTTCGTATTTTGCGAATACTTTTGTGGTCTCTGGTTAAAACAAAATTGTATAAAAATCAGCTTTAAGCTTAACAAATATAACTAAAATATTTGTATTGACCACGCCCACTTTTACAATTTTGAAAAATATTGATAGGAGGGGCCACTATTGGGACTGTAGTGCGCTCCTTTTCATTAAAAAAAAATTGTTCACAGAGTGTATTATTTTTCAATGTTCAAAAATTCAGTTTCCTGGACGTAATTCCTAAGAATTTTCCAATCAGTGTTAGTCAGGAATGTTATTTCCGGAATAACATCACTTCCAAGATACTTGTATCTAACTTCGACGAATACTTGACAGTAGCAAAGAAAGTGCTCCAGAGTTTCACTGATCTTTGCGGTTCTACCCACCGTTTCATTATTCCAAGAGGCCTTCTTCTTTCACCCATATTTTTAATTCAGCTTTTGTTGCGTCGAATGGTTTTGCGTTCGTCAGGTTAACTACTTCGAGCTAACTTCCCTTTAAAGCTATTACATTCGCCCTTTCGTTGCAGATTACTCCCGAGTGTCCTGGTACCCATATAATATAAACCTTTCCTCTGGGAGAGTATTCAGTTGAAGCTTTCTTACAATCCAATTCGGTCTTAGATTTAATTCTATCACCTGATATCGCCATAATTGCCCTCTGGCTGTCGGTGAATATATTAAGGGACGTTGGCGCCATATTTATTCTAATCCATTTTACACATTCCGTTATTGCTCGGACTTCTGCCTGGAAGCTTGTGTTATGATTAGGTAAACGGTGGTATATATCTGTTTCTGGGTCTTCAATATAGAACCCCAGGACCACTTTATCCCCCAATTTAGAGCCATTCGTGTAAGAACGGATTCCTACTGGTATTTGCTCTAGTTTTCCGCTTGACCAAGACATTCTCTCTGTTCGCCTAAAGTAAAGAGACGCCTCATATCTTAAATATGTTTCAATGGGTGGAATATCTAGCAACGTTTTCAGAGCTTTGGTTGAAGTAGTACACATGGCACCACTTATACCCAAGCAGCATGTATGTTGAACTCCCGGTAGTAGTTTGATATTACACTTTTTGTCCAAAGCAGTCCACCAGATTATTGAAGCATATGCTAGAATTGGTCTAATTACTCTTTTATGAAGCCAATTTGAATATGACAGCTTTAGAGGCGAAGTAAGCCCTACCTTTGTTCTTAGCAAGACTAGCCATTGATTTCTGGTCGATACCTATTACAAATAAAGTTCCCTCAGGTTCTTCTTTCCTGTAAAAGACGTCCCGTTTTTCCACGGCCGGCTCAGCATTTTGACCACCAAGAATTTTCAGTATATGTTCATTAGCCAGTTTAGTGCCCCATCCTTTTAAGTAGACAGTGGACTTTAAGAGCACAGGAAACATTACGCTGTACTCGCAGTTCACGCTCTCTATTGGTTGTTTGCCCTTTGAAGCGATTGAGTGGGCCACTATCTTATTGTTAGCCAGGTCTTCTATTATACTCTGTTGGTCTATTGGAATTTTGCCTGTCGGATTACCCGCATCGTAAACTGCATATCAGAGATCATCCCGGTGTCTTCTTCTGGCAACTTTGGCATAAGATGACGGTTCTTTTCCTTTTCCACTGTCTAACCTCTCTTTCCTCGCTTTTCGGGCTTTTCTTTTTCTTCTTAGGTTTATTCTCAGTTGTCAACTCCTCGGGCGACCTGATCCTCTTTGCCTCAGATCGTTTGAGAGAGTCCGATTTTTCCTTTGGAGTGTTGTTGGATTGACTAACTATGATTTCCTGAAGCATCTTTTTCATCTTCCTCCTCTGTGCTCCAGATAGTCTTTTCTTAGTAATAGGTAGTTTAGCTGTGCTATCACTCACCTATTTCACCATTTCCTCTACTTCATCCTTTTTGGGATTTGCTATAATGGTGTTGTTATTATCATCTGAGGATTCTTTCACCACTATGTCTTTGCCAATGGCATGCTGTACACTTGACGAATTATCCGCCACGGAGGCCAAGGTACCCATCTCCGTAGTAGCATTTTGCTCACGATTGCAGGATGACGACGGCAGGTGACTCCCGAGTAGATCAACGCTTGCCTCCGGTACTGGGTTATTTAGGCCCTACACCGTAACTTTTATCTTTATATTTTTCATGTTTGTTTTTTACAGTTTTTTGGTCCGCGGGGAATATAATATTCCCAGGTGGTGGACAATCTCTCCTCCCTCAGCTTAAGTGACTCAAAAGCTGGGAGAGGACCACCACTATCCGCCACTCGGGGACTCGCTCGGTAGGAAAAAAAAAATTGTTTCAAATAATCAACTATAATCATTACAATTATTAATATTCTTATATCTCAAACGGTTTTACTAAATGATTAACAAAATAATAGCGAAAAGTGGGCGGAATGTTTATTATCAGATTATGATATAAGTTTTAATACATTTTAAAAATACTTTTTAAAATTGACTTACATTTTTCCACTTACGATCATAAATTTTCTATATAAAAGTAGGCGTGTTCGTATTATAAAGATATCAAGGGAGGTTAATATGTTTCTCATCTAAATCGAAATTTAATTTTTATTTACATATCTAATATTCGCGAAAAAATACTTTTACGATTTATGTTTACAGCAAAAAAAAATCGATATCACATCAAAAATGATAGACATATTTGAAATTTGACAATTATATATGAAAGACTTTAGTATGACGCATCCTTTGTAGCCGTCAGTGAGCGATATATACTTAATATGAAGTCCATAATTATAAAATTTGACCTTTGTCGTATCAGAATGTACTAAAACTTCCGTAAACGGAAGTTTTATAAATTAAAATTTTACACAGCGATGTTAATTGACTTAATGGATAAAAATCTCTGAAACTAAATCTATTCATCATGTTTAAATTGTCTTAATTTACTATGAATACATTTGTTTGTCTACTTGTGCGTGTTATTCATATTAAATTAAACAAAAATTTATTCATATTTTTGGTTTCGATTAATAAATTTAAAAAAACATAAAAAATATTTTAACACATGTAGTGCGTTAAATTGTTTCACACTGGTTAGAGAAGCAAAATTACAATATGAAATGAAACTACACAAATATACCATTCTCTTCTACATTCATAAATAAAAGTAATTTACTACACAACTATTATAGATTAATGGCCAAAAAAAAAAATTTTAATAAAAATATGTATAATTTAACAGAAGTAGTTTTTTGTTATAAAACAATCGAATCCCACTTAATTGGATATATTTACTAATATGATTTCTGTTTAATTCTTTTAAGAAGGAATTATATTCCCAAATAAATCTATGTCTAATAGTAAAAAATTAGTTTTAACTAATATTTTTCTACGAGTGTATTTAAACGAAGCTTTATTCATAACTAGTAGCTTTTTGACGTTCTCATACTCCCGTAATTAATTAATACTTTAGTTTTGGGTTTGGTTGTTTGTGGTCTCTGGTGGAACTAATATTGACAGCCAACGTGTGTCGTGTTAACCATCATTTATCCACAAAGAATGCCCATGGTGACTACAACTACAATTTAAAACAAAACTAAATTGCTTAACATTTGATAAATGAATGTATTTAATATTTATATTTACATATTTCTGTTGTAGTTTTATTTCTTTCGTTTTGTGTCCAAAGAAATAAATAAAGAAAGAAAGAAAGAATATTAAATATTTTAAACACTATTGTTAAAATTTTAAACAATCACGGTTGTTTTTGGGGCCACGATTAAGTAGTGTTTGTTTTCTTTTATTTATTAGAAGTTTTTTTACAATCAATCAATGAAAGATACATATTTGTGTAAAAATAGCTTCCGTTTCTTTTGAAAATTTCTTCAGAGATAATCTGTTTTAATTAGCATTAAATGACTAATCTAGAATAAGCATAGTTGTAGATCATTTAGTATGTATTATAGATCGTTTATCAATGGTGATTTATTTTATGATAATACATACTTGTATACGTTAGGCAATGGAAATGGCTTTGTTCTAAGCGATTTTTATAGTATTTAAATTTACCTTGATAATGTCGTTTGGAGATCACCGTTAGTGCCAGGGCTAAGTCTCTCTTTTTTCACATGATTGCTGCTCATGTGTAATGACTGTTGTTGTGTTTGGTGATGGAGATGATGTTGATGCGATTGCTTCTGAATCTGAAACTGATGCTGTTGTTGTTGTTGGTGTGTTTGACTGCAGGATTGTGCCAGGGAATGACTCTGTAATTCATCACTGGTATTGTTGATAGAATTATTGGCAATTTGATTTTGAAGCTGACTATTGACTAAATTGTTGTTTATGCTGCTACTGCTGTTACTGCAATTACTAGCACTGCCACTGCCTGAGCCAATGCTACTGTTATTGTTGATGCTATTGCTGTTATTGTGATTGTTGTTATTATTGATAGAATTACTATTGTTATTGTTTACCATTGCAGCAGCAACTGCTGCTGCTGCAGCTGATGATTCCATAATAGCATCCTTTAGGGAATCTAGTTGTGCTGCTGTCACACGTGGTGACATTCGTTCATTTTTCACCTTTTCCAAATAGAGATAAGCAGCTGCCGCTGCTGCTGTTGTTGTAGGTGTAATAGTGAGACCGGCCCCCTGTACCGGCGATGTATCCCCACTCAAGGGTGGTGTATTGCTTTTTTCACAATTCGTTTTAACACTGTCGATTGTATTGTTGTTACTGTAGCCACTCAATAGTAAAGAGCGTTCGCTGAGCATTTTCTTCTCCCCAACGATTGTGATCGGTGTTATTGATGGCGGTGCAATAGGTGCTGTTGGTGGGGTAGGTGTCTGACTTGTAATACAACCACTTGTAGATTTTATATGTTCTCTTTCTCTTGTCACTTCCTGTGTGTCTGTAATGTTTCCTAAGGACAGAACATTTGATTCTCTGTTGATATTAGTATACAAGTCCTTTTCTATTTCAACACATTCCTTTAACACATTACGGTGAATATTGTCTGAAATAAGAGTGTTTTGGGAAAAAAATGAAGTATTAAATATAACAAAATTTTACTAAATATTATGGGTCAATCACGTATTTTGTTTCAAATTAAAATTAAAAGAGAACAACGAAAATAAAATGAAAAATAATTTTTACCGTCCGTGCATCCAGCCAGTTAAGCATTCAATCATACACATTTACACATAGACTCAGTAAACACGATTAGAAAGTCACATGTCAGAGCAATGCGTCACATTTATACCAATAAATTGACAAGTGGCAATGAACTCTATACTCTCGGATAGTGTTGTTTTATTTTTAATATTATTATTGTAGTTGTTGGTTGCTGTATTTATTGTTAGTAGTGCTGAAAAAAGTGTGAAGAGCTACGACAAAACGAGGTATGAACGTCGCCGCCCATCATAATCAAACAATCAAATGGCAACAACAATAATGTATATATTTATACCCAGCAGTTTTCCAAAGCAATGTGTCCCAATAATGTCAAAGTACTCGATAGACTCAAATGAATAGTGAATTGAATCATTTGACATTTATATAAGTATGTAACATTAGTAATGCAAAGAAAAGTCAATCAATTACTTAACTAATTACAAGTAATCAATTAGCCTTGAAATGTAGCGAAATTTTTCTGTATTTGTTAAGCCTTCTGTAACCTTTTCGAATTTGTCATAATTATAGTAAATTTGTTTGTTTAACGTTATCTGTTCTATTTAAATAAGGAACCCTAGATATATGTAAATATGACTAAATTGGTTGTTGGCTATTCTGAAGCTTCTGAGAAAACCGCATATAATCAAATGTTAATGTATAATTGTTGTATATTTGTAAGTTTCGGCAATTCATCTTAGATACACACATGCATGATCCCAATTAACAAGTACAATCATCAGTTCAGTATAAATACTCAGAACTGCTGGGTTCTTAATACCTTCATTCACACTTACAAACTTTTTTAAACGGGTACATCCAAATACAAGTGTTTGTTTGCTGTACTCATATGTACGTATGTATGTTTATTTGTAATTAATAGTGAACGATCAACTGACCAAGAAATTGTATCGAACAAGTACATGTACATTATATGTAACATGTATGTGCGTGTGGTAAAAGTTTATACACATACAAACATACAAATTTTGTAGTTTTATTAGATATTGATTCAATTTGTATGTATTTGTATTGAAAAGCATGGCCAGCAAAGAAAAAACGCACCTCGAAGGGGAGGTTATTCCGATTGTAAGTCATTGACCAACCTTTTAGTAGAACGCAATATTTTTTATGATCAGTCAAATTTTGTTCTAATAGTTGAATCCACCGATTTTTACTTCTTCTGCAACATATTCCGTATTTGTATTAATTATTTTCTTAAACATCTTTTACCTACATATACATACTTTTATACATATGTATAAGCTATTTTTTATTAACATGTAGAATATTTAAAAGTTCCGGAAAAGGTGTCTTAGAATGATTTGTATATGTATGTATATGGGCATTTTCGTGTTAAGTGACTCAACATTTAAAATCGACGTCTTCCGATTTGCATGAAATTTGCACCAAGGTGAGTACTATTGGATACTAGGCCAGACAAAAATTGTCAGCTCTATTGGTCAAGAACTGCCGGACTTATAAATTATTTTTTTTTAAGGAAATAGCTATCTGAACAATTGGACAATTTTTCTAGTACCAATAGGTGAAAAGTTACACTCATTTGAATAAAACCCTGTATGACCAAAAAATCCAACTTTGACCCCCAAGATCTGCAGATTTTGATCGATAGAGCTGTGTCTGACCTACTATCCATGGTACAAATTTCATCCAAATCGATTTTTGAATTGAGTCACTTGGCACGCAATTGTCCATATACAAAACATCGTTGTGAAGAATTTTAGCCATTTATATAGGAATTATAACCAATTATGGGCTGATGCGAAAACTATTTCACAGAATAATTTGTTTATAGTATACAATCCAAATTCGAATATACATACTTTTATACCGATATCATTATTAATTCATGAATTATTTAAATAATTTTAAGAAGTGGACTTTATATGGAAGCTATGACCCATTATGAGCCGATCCGGAAAAATTCCTTATCGTGTATGTGCGGAATATATTAGTGTTAAATTTTGATCTTATTATGAGTTCATTTTGATTTAGATTTTGGGAAGTGAACCTTATATTTATGTGAGCTATGGTCGATTATGGACCGATCTAGGTTTTAGTTGGTAATACGATTTATATTGCTATTTTTGTATTGTGGAAGTTATTAATAATAAATCCATTATAAGCGATTTGTAAATTTGTATGGGGGCTGTATGAAATTTGGAACCGATTCTAATATTTTGCAACCATGATAATCCCTGGACGAAAGAAAACACTTGTGCAAAATTTTTTGAAATGGCTATGGTCGATTATGGACCGATCTAGGTTTTAGTTGGTAATACGATTTATATTGCTATTTTTGTATTGTGGAAGTTATTAATAATAAATCCATTATAAGCGATTTGTAAATTTGTATGGGGGCTGTATGAAATTTGGAACCGATTCTAATATTTTGCAACCATGATAATCCCTGGACGAAAGAAAACACTTGTGCAAAATTTTTTGAAATGGCTGCTATAGTTTCTGAAAGAAAAACTTATCAGAAATGAGACAAAAACGTAATATTTTCATGTGTTGTTTCGGAATTTTGCTCATATGTCCGTAATTTATTGACCGATTTTGCTGATTTTAGATAGGAAAATTTTCGAAAAATATGTCTCATAGAATTATTGAATATTTCGCAAAATATATGTATGTGGTCTTTTGAAAACAAATTTCAACGTACCTACGGACAGACAGATAGTTGGACTCGACTCAGCAATTTATGTTTTATAAGATTGTTTTTGGAATACAGATGTTATGAAATGCTTTAAGATGGTTGTGGAGCAATGATGAGAACGCAGGTTTAAGAACTAAATTCATGTAAAATTCAAAATTGATTCCAAATGGAATTGATCTTTTGTACACTTTGCTAATAAAATGTTTCTATTTGCAACACTCACTCACTATTTACAACTTTCTATTGCATCAATGGCATGCAACATAAAAGTATTCATTGCCTTTAGATGTTTTGCTGTTAAGAAAAAAAAAAAAAAAACAAGAGCAACTATGAAAAAAAAAAATACCTAATCCAGTTTATATTTATAAATAATCAGTGAATTGTAACGATAAAATGTTTAAAATACCACCACAATGTAACGGTAGATGCACCTTAATTGAAATTTCATCGAATCGCCATGAAAGAAACCAGTGTATAAACGACATCAAATCATGTCTTCTGCAGTGATGCTGATGATGGAAATTGGAATTTGTAACATTTTTTCTGTTCATTATTATTAAATGGTAAAATCTACGAGGTGCACAAGTTTTTTTTATTGCAAAATCATAAATGGTTATAACAGGGTTTATTGAAAATATATGTAAACTTAAAGTATCAGCAGATGACAAAACGTAACTCATACAAATATTGTACACAACAATAAAGGGTATTGCAACAAGGGCGGATTTATGTTGACATCCTTAGAGTGACATGACTTCAACACTTTCAGAAAATGAACACAAGCAGTCACTATCATATGAAAACGTTGTTCAATCCTATAACTTACTGTTAAAATGGTCTAACTCTTATTGAAAACCCTTTTTGTAGAACTTTTATTATCTAATCAAATATCAATTATAATGCGACCTAAAATATATTTTTAAAATAAAAGCCAAAAAGATCCTTAACAGCAAGATGAAAAAATATTCATATTTCCAAATACAAAGAGAACTTTAATAACTTGTTTATGGAGATGATGAAAATTATCGTAATAAACGTGTCTCGTTTAAAGTTGACTTTTAGATTCCATTTTCAAACCAAAAAAATTGTAATAGAACTTTATGCGCTGCAAGAACGAAATAAAAAATGGAACCAGTTCTCGAAATGATCTATAGAAATGTAATTTTTAGCAATGAGCATGTGTAAAGTGCTTGTTGGCTGGTGTTTGTACGAACGAGATCTCTTGAACTTGTCAGGACACATTCATCCATAAATATTTCAACTTCTATAGTTGAATGTAGATGTAAAATATATTTATCGTGCTGCATCCATTACAATAATTATTTCTATACTATTTACTCCACTGATTAAAACAGATTCAAATTTGGATGCGAAACTCAAAGTTGATAATACGTACGAGTATTTGTTTAAGGTTAAGAAATCATTCGTAATGTGGTGCTGTTTAGGTGGTGGTATTTCATGTCTAACATTTGATGACAAGGGTCTGTGACTATAACTCGCATTTTCCTATTTGGAAATTTTGTAATCGCTTTTGTTCGAGTATCAGTGCAAAAGCTACGAATTGCTTCTATTCAAACTGAGAAACTATTAACGAACGAACTATGAATGGAAAAAGTGTTTCTTTTTTATTTATTTGTTGGCTGCTGATGATGATGATGATGGGTGATTCGGTTCTTGATGTTGGGATGTTTGTTCTTTTGGTCGAATGGTTGTTTGGCTGGCTGGCTGGATGGTTGGTTGTATAGTAGGAAGGTGAATTGCTTGCATGTGTGTATGGATGAATGAATGAGTGGCTAGCTGGCTGGCAGGCTGACTGGATACATGACTGTGTGTATCTATGTATCTGTACCTCTTTGTACAAACAACTATTAGCATTAAATGTATAATAGTTCGTTATCAAAAGAGTGGAGCGTGGTGGATGTTAAGCGTTCAATGCACTGAATTGGTTTTTAGTTTCTCGTTGTTCTTGTTGTTGTTAATATTATTATTTTTGTTAAGAACAGGTGTGTATGATTTAAATTTAGTTGGTACAAGACTCTGTACGTGTGTTTGAATGTTTGTATCGCGCCATCATTGCAAATCACATGCAATCCATTAAAGTGTTTCTGGTCCGTGTTGATTCTTCTTTTGGCCATGGCCTCTGCCCATGTTTCTGCCCATTGCAT